CGCGCGTGCCGATTAAACCGCGTATAATCCCTATATTCAATATGCATAAATACACACACACACACACACACACACACACACACACACACACACACACACACACACACACACATACAAACACATATGCATGGTATATACGTTCTTCCCAGTCTTCCCACACGTTACCCGAACCGTGATAGGTACAAATAATCCTGTTTCATCATTACGGTCGTGTGGGTCCTTATCGAAACATATAATAATATACAGTACACACACACACACTTATATTATAATACCGATTTGGATTGTCAACAATCATCGAGCCGGCATCGACTATATACACAGCGTATACGTATGTATATATATATATATCCTGTCCACCGCTACAAGTTCCCCGGGGATATTAAAAGCCTCCTAAAAGGTTGGAGTCGGTGGGCCGGGAGGTTTTCGTCGTTCTCTTGTTCGGATTAAAATGCGTCGACAAAAGAACAGACGCGCGCGGCACGACGGAGAAAAGAGAACACAAGAGACATCATCACTATATTATATATATATAGTTTACCACTATACACATACACACATATATATGTATATATTGTAATGTGTACGTCGCCGGAGATTGATCAAGAGACGGAGAGTGTGAGAGAGGAGAACGCACACACACACACACACACACACACACACATACACACATACACAGGAACCGCAATAGTTTCCGTTGTGTGGCGTGTACACATTTATATATATATATACATATATTATAATGTATTCATCCGAGGCGGACGGGATTAATGCGGAAAACGTTTTCCTCCCTTTACGCCACGTTAGACAACAGACATCAGCGTGCTGCAGCATCCCGCCTGTCCCTGTAACAACGTCGAGACGACGACCATATACGCGCGCAAGTTTCTTTCCCTCCCGTATAGCCTTAACTCCGCATTTAGTGACGTATATACAGGGTGCAGTCTGTGCTATGCCAGTCGCTGTATCCTTCGCATAGGTATAGGTGCTCCACCATGCCAGCCTTCCATACCTGACCCTTAATGTCGTGACGAAAATACAACTTTTAAATGATAATATTGTTTAGGTAGATACTTAAAAGTTAAATTATCTACATGTATGTAATATTATATAAATAATTGCTATGCATCGGGCATTGATGAAACGTAAAAACAAGTATGACATATTAAAATATTTGATTGACACTGCTAAACAATATATTAGAAAACAATTATTTGCAGGTACAACGTGAGACACCCTATATGTATGTACATACCTTATACCTATACGTATTACAATATAATATGACGCGTGTATACCTTTCGGATAAGCTTTAGCGGCTCTGTACCTATATATCTCGAGCATTTCAGCTCGGCGACGACGGGGAAAGCGATCGCGTATATTTCATTTAATATTATATTATATACCTACATTAGGTATAATAATAATAATATAAGACGTGGTTTCGTCATGCCGCCTTCTGCTATATACATGTATATTATATACATCCCAGTATCCCACCACTCGACGACAAACGTCATATATTATATTGTATTATATAAAGGGCTTTATCATGTGTATTTACATGTACCTATATATATATATTGTTCCATCCCGAAATGCTGGAGTCTGGAGAGGAGCGTGAGAGGACGCGTATTATTATTTTATTTTATCGTCCTCCTCCACCCTCTCTCTTACCACCACCGAAGTTGACTCGTCACTCCGAGTATAATAATATTATAATACGATGATTTACGGCCTCGTGAGCAGTTTAAGGAATTTAATGTCGTCAATTTGAGTTAGCGCGTATGGATATATATATAGTATATATACGCATAATATATGACACACAAACACACACTGCACACATATAATATTATGTTATATGAAAATATGAAATAATATATTATTATCTTACTATTGACGACAAAGACGTTGCCATTGTGTGGTAACGACGGGAGGCGGAGTGGAGATGCTGCAGTAAGCGAGTATATCGAAACCGGAAGCAATTTTATAGAACGCATAAGTATATTAAATAATTGTATAATAATATAATATGTTTATACATAATAATTAATAAATATATTAAACTATTTTTTTGTTGACGTATTATACTATACCTAGGTAAAATTGTGGATAAACTGACAAAAATGAAAATGTTTAAATTGCCAACAACTTGATTTAAAAATGTTATAGGTACAATGGTTAATGGTACATAAAATCTTTTAAATATAAAGTTTGGTTTGACCATACATTTTTTTTAATGCAAGTCTCTTTTTTAAATTAATTTTTATTGAACTATGTCAGATATAATCTTTTTTTTAAACATTATTTAGCACCTGTTTCTAAGAAAAATAAAATAATATTATAATTATATTATTTTCTATCAAATATAAATTAGCATTTAACAGATATACAAAATATAATTAAATAATAATAATATTAACACTTTTCTTCACCTTAATATGGCATATTCAATATTCCTATGCTGAGACATAAGCTATTAAGTAGGTACCGTTGTTTGAATTATATTTTTTCTGTGTATAATTATTTATTTATATGAAAGGTTCACAATAGTGGTTAATATTGAGTTTGTTCAAGAATTGTTGTGCTTATTATGCATAATAATCAATAGGTACCTAAGCTCATATTTTAAAAGGTTTTAGTTATGGTATAACAAGTAACAACTATATTATAAGACCAAAGTTCTGATGACTGGCAAATTATATGTCGGCTAATTATAGATATATGCGAACATTTTATAAAATTATAATAGGTAGGTACTTCTATTACTACTTGTACTTATATATAGGTAAGTAATATAGCTACCTATACTAGCCTCTTATGCGCATTTCAACAAAACAGTTTTACCTCGTTAGTCTGTATACAATATACATGAATGATGAATCATACTATAGATAGGTTAAATATTCTATTGAAATATTACAGAATGGACATTAGACGGCCATATTATTGCGTTTCGCGTCCAAAGTGTAAAAAGTTATTGTTTCAGACTTTTCAATCGCCAGCGTGCGCTCTATAAGATTCTGAGATTGGGTAAAAAATACTTAAATATGACAGGCGGCAGCAGGTTTATTTATTATTATCAAAAAACTATTTTGAGTTATTATCTAATAACTAAACACCTATTATCAGATGCCCCACGTCCGATAAACAGCGATTATGAAATTTAATCGAAGCAAACGTCGGTGTGACGGCGTACGACGCCATAAAATATCGGAATGATCTTTATTTAATTTTGAATTCATACTTATATCTAATCTTCATGCGCCTTCATGGCTTCATCGTTCGAATCCGAGGTATCCTTTAGCTATAGTAGGTAGGTATCTAGGTACTGTTCTATAAATTATAATATTTCAATGTTCCCATGTTATTCTATAAATTGCCTACAGAACCACCGAGGACAGTGCCCAATGGTTAACATGGAAAACAGATTATATTTCTGAAGAGTACTTATTATTACCTATTTTTTTTTTTTTTATAGAATATCAGTGGCGTAATTGGGTATATCTTAGGAGGATAGACATTTTTTTACACACAAAATACAAAATACATAAAATAAATATAATAAATATTAAATTTGCAAGTACTGCAATGGTAGCTGAGAATATAGGTACCTACTATTTTATCAAAAATCCTACAACTAATATAAAATACGCAATATTATTAAATTCTACACAATTTATAGTACCTATACAATAGTGTAATATATTTGGCATACATTCACTTTAGCTATACCCAGCATATTTTTTGAAACATATGTATTTCTACAAGTTATGAACGATGGTGTAAATAAAAAGTTTGTGTAAATCATTATTTTGGAAGTTATATCCTTCCAAAGCTTGCGATTTTACGTTTACATGCATACACGCAATGCACTGTACTTTACTGTCGTGGCAAATCCTATAACGAATTTTGATTTGCTTACATAATATTTTAACAAGTTAAGAACGGTTTGATTTTTTTTTTGCCCCATCGTTCTTAACTTATTGAAATACATTTGCTTAACAAATGAGGGGTAGCTAAAGTGAATCTATTCCAAATATTACATTTATTTTGTTTTTTAAATAATATAGGTAATGTACTTACATAGGTATAATTTTTGATTTTACGGTTTAAAAAAAACCCTAATTTTCTTGTATACATAGGTAGGTTTGGAGTTTGGGGGATCCATCCCCTGGCCATATATCATTTGCTCATCGTCTGTTTACCTGTGCCAAAGTATAATAGGTACATCATATGTGCATCAACATGCATGAGCAATAAAAGGGTACCTACAACAAAAAACAATGTTTGATTGAAAATGTATTCGCATTGGTTATACATATTTGTATATCAAATACAATAAATAGATACAAACAACTAAAAAAAAATTTCATTAATTCAATTAAATTGTTGTCATAATTATATAAATTTACATACATATGTAATATTATATAGATAATGAATAATATAAGATTTTTAAGTTTTTGTTAAATAAGCATTTAAAGTTCAAATTTTGACCAAACTCATCAAAACCTTGAATTTATTTTTATTTTGTTATTAGTTAAAAGTTTTATAGAATTTATAGAATTTTTTACGTTCATGAGCCCGTTGTAAATGATAGATAGGTATCACTAGAAATTTAGAAAATAACTTGTGATTTTTGGTCCTTTTTTTCAGTTCTATTGTTAAATAATATTGATGCTCAATATGATAGTATAACCCAAACATCGAACGATGCTCAACTTTCTTTCAAAAAAAGGTCAAAATTAACAATTATAGTGAAGCGCAAACGACAACCACGCGCATTCCCTAATGCCCCTTAAATACGCCCCCCTAGAGTATAATATATAGATAGAAGATTAATTTCTATAATATCTTACAGCATAGCAGTCGATAATTAATAACACGTTGATGTCTTCATGATGAAATTGTGAACGTAATAATACAATAGTAGGTATATTATTTTTTATCAATTTCGTGGTAACTCTATCTGTATTCTCTATAAAATTCAAATTTCACCGGAAATCGGAATCGTTATCAGCAGCTGCTGCCGTCGCAATATTCGCATCGGGTGGCCGCCCTCTCCCTCCGACGATGACGACCACGGCGCCGTCGTCATGGAACAAAAAGACGACGAACACACCGCCCGTGGCCCGTCCGAGTGCCCCCGACCGTCGTAATAATTTTATCGGATCGTGATTCGTACCTACGGTCACCGAACCGTCGCACTCCTGTTCAGCGAAAAACATCTGTTCCTTTAACCTCTCACCCATTTTCGTTTTAAAAATACGATCAACCCTCTCTCGCGGCCAGGCCAGTTGAGGAGAAAATTTCTCTCCCGACCATTAATCCCTCCGAGAGAGTTCTTTTTCGACCTCATCTCCCACCGACGACCGTTCGCCATGGCTCACAGGATATTCCACAAGATCGTAAGTATCCGGTTCGCGGCGACAAAAACGGATCGCTTGTCGATGCCGTCGCCGTTGTAAATGGAGTGCCCAATATACATTTTCACCGTTTCCGTTGTTGGTTTGTTGACAGAACAACGTCACCCAGTACCTTGCTCGTTCCTACGGTGTTGACGCACGGAAAGTGACTTTGATCCCCGGCGATGGAATCGGTCCTGAGATCTCGGCCGCTGTTCAGAAGATTTTCGAAGCCGCCAAAGTAAGTGATTGTTTCTAGCTCGAAGTAAGACATCTGCGAATCGGATCTCTGTTGGCCACGTATTAGTGAACACTACATGCCACAGGTCAAACGCATAAAATAAGTTTTTTTCAACGCTTTTTACTAGAGTGGATTTGTTGAACGTGGCCAAGTGGAATTATCGAATTCATTGTCTGTATTTGTACGGTATTGTTAATCGGGTTGGCGATAGCCCTTCAGTAGAGACTGAATGTTTGCTTTAAAGATACCTGCTAGACTTGTAATCCAAAGTAAATCTGTCCGTTGTAACCGTTTTTAATTGCTTTAGTTGAAAACCGATTGATTGCACTTATAATTTGTTAAAACAAAATATTTCTGTTTTTAGACTCCAATTGAATGGGACGTAGTTGATGTTACTCCTGTAAAAGCACCAGATGGTACAATGAAAATACCATCTAAAGCTATTGAATCGGTGAACACTAATAAAATTGGATTAAAAGGACCTCTTATGACACCAGTTGGAAAAGGTCATCGCTCATTGAACTTGGCCCTTAGAAAGTAAATTAATTTGTATTTACTAATTATAAAAAATAATATACTTAAAAATGTGTTTTGAATATTGGTGTTTATCTGAGATTACAACTTGTGCTCATTATTTTCCTAGAGAATTCAATTTATACGCCAATGTAAGGCCCTGTCGCTCACTTGAGGGTTATCCTACATTATATGAGAATGTTGATGTAGTAACAATTCGTGAAAATACTGAAGGTGAATATTCAGGTATCGAACACGAAATTGTCGAAGGAGTTGTACAATCCATCAAATTGATCACAGAAGAAGCTTCAACCAGGGTAGCTGAATTTGCTTTTAAATATGCTGTTGAAAATAAACGATCCAAGGTCACTGCTGTACATAAGGCTAACATAATGTATGATGAACTAATAATCTTTTTCAATTGTGTATGATGTTCTAATTAATGTGTTTGAATATGTGAAATGTTATAGGAGAATGTCTGATGGTTTGTTCTTGAGGTGCTGTCGTATGGCTTCTTCAAAGTACCCACAAATCAAATTCGAAGAAAAATACTTAGACACCGTATGTTTGACTATGGTTCAAGATCCAAGTCATTATGATGTTTTGGTAATGCCTAATTTGTATGGTGATATATTGTCAGACATGTGTGCCGGTTTGGTCGGTGGTTTAGGTCTGACACCCAGTGGAAACATTGGCAGCAACGGTGCTCTATTTGAATCTGTAAGTAATGTTTGATTTATTTGTTTATTATTTCAGTTTAATGAAGTCATTAGTTTTTAACAAACTGAATTTGTTTAGGTTCACGGAACCGCTCCAGATATAGCCGGCAAAGACTTGGCCAATCCTACTGCTCTTCTGTTATCAGCTGTAATGATGTTGCGTCACATGGAACTTAACAGCCAAGCTGACATTATTCAAAAAGCTTGTTTTGAAACAATCAAAGAAGGCAAATACAGAACTGGAGATTTGGGCGGAAAAGCAAAGTGCTCTGAATTTACAGATGAAATTTGCCGTAAAGTTCAAGAGTCCTCTTAACTTGATGTTAAGTAATAATGTTGGTCCATCAATTTTAATTATTGTATTTGTGTATATTTATTTTGTGAAAAAACTAGGCCACACAGATTAGCAATAACCCTCTCGAGTTTTTCGTGTTTGTTCCTTTCTATTTAAATATAAAAATAATATTTAATCCAGTAATTGTATAATTTAACTAGGATTTTTATGAAAATGATATTTTTTACTAGTACTGAGTCATAATTTCTGTGATAAATATTTAGAAGGAAAACCATTCGTAAAGTTTTTAACAGTCATTTCCCATTAATTCATTTATCACATATAATTAGTTTGTTGATTTTCTATATAATCATATATTATAATTTATTAATTATTTTATAATTTTCAAGATCAAAAATATCTATCACCCATGACTTGATGTACTATTAACAATAAATCATTTGCTTTACAATTTCATTATTGTTGTTATTATTATTTATTTATTTATTATTGATAGACAAATTATTGTCTTAAAAATTGTTGCGATATTCGACATATTTTATGTACTTAATGATAGTGCTGTTAATCATTAAATAAAATACACTTTTCAAACAATTGACAAAATATATATGCTCAGCAAATATTGCAATAATTATGAATGTGCATAATGATGAAATCTTTGTTCTTTGTTAATGAGAGTATAAAAGTATTAGATACATGTGCCTAGTCACTAGACGGTATTATTAAATATTTTAATAAAATAAAATTTTGTTATTTTACTGAAATCAACTGTGGCTCATTTTAATTATTATATTATCCTTATACCAATATTATTAGTAAATATTATTACAATTAGCATTAAAATTATACAAATATGAAATATTTATCTATACTATCACAAGCCAAATCAAAAGAGAATTAAAAATAATTGCTCTCACTGATATGATTCCAAATACCAATCCACTATTCTGCGGATTATGTCATAGACAAACAAATACCAGTTAAGTGGCCTGCTCGTATGACTATGATAAGGGCAATATTTTACGTAATTTCATTGACACCGTCCTTGGCATATGTGTTAGTCGTCAATGATGATTACTATCGAACGAGTATCGAACTATCTGCACGCGCCATTTCCACACACAATATATCGAGAGTACCAGTGACCAAAAATAAGTGTGATATTTTGCTCAAAACACGTTTTACAGGAAAGATTCACGCAATGTAAAGTGGTCTTATTTGATAAATGTTTTCATTAGAAAGAGGATAGTTTAATACAGGGCATATTAGACTTTGATTTTTAATTATAAAAATAACAATAGCTTGTGAAAACTAGTCATATTCTAAATCGTTCAGAAATAGAATTTTGAAAATCCAAGTCCAATACACCCTCTAAGAAGTTTCTTTCAAAAAAAAAAAAATTATTGAAATCGGATCACTCTACGAGGTGTACTTCTCCTAACTTGGAAGTAGCATTTATTCAAAGGCTGAAAATAAACTAAAAAAAGATTGATAAATACGTGGTATTGTCGTATACATTTATTTCTATAACCAGTTAAAATTACTGAACATGCTAAACGTACCATATTATAACATACAATGACAAAAGTAAAAATGTTTGGAAAAAAAAAGTATATAAATTATAGTCACAGTATAAATGTTGCTAATACGTTGCCAAGACTCAATATTACAATGTTTAAATCATAATTTACCACAAACATATAACATTTTTACATGTTTCACTTTCAAATAAATACATATGATAGTTATGATTTAATAAAGTTAAAAAAAAAAAATCTAGTAACAACGGACACAGCACACGGATTGTAACGTGCCAAGTTATCGGGACGTTTAATATTGTGTGCAGACATCCGATTAATAATATTATAGTACACACGTAACATTAAACAAATCATAATACATTAATGATACATAGTTCAAAAACATATTATGAAATTAAATGTTGAAGTTATTTTTTTCAACATACCAAAAAATAAATGGTGTTTGGAAATAATTTATAAACATTCAGATAATCTTAAAATATAAAATCTTATCGTCAATCAATTGTTAGATTTAAGTTTTTTCTCATTCATCGCTTATTGCGATATAACTCTCGTGGCCATCAACAGGACGAGGAGATTCGCACAATAAACTTTGAACTATCCATAAAACTGATAGCTTGGGAATTTTTTCTTTCATGATTGAGCTTGGACATTGGTCGTCGGTTACAATGACTGTCATGTGGCGTATTAATGGCAGATTTACCACTCCTAGTAAATAAACGCAAAGTATGGCCATTTGATAATATTATTAATATTCATAATTAAAACAGTATAAAAGACAAATCACTTAGTAAAAACCTTTTAACGCACCTCTTTTTGATATAGTGTACACTATGGCACCAGAAAATTTTAACAAACTGGAAAAAAAATTACTCTTGGATTCATCTGATAAAGCTACATAAACAACATAGTCAGAAAATATGTTCGAGTGTATAGTTTCAGGCGAACGGAAGATAATTTCTTTCTTTTCCACTGACCAACCGTTTGGTATAGGTTTAATATCATTCTTTATTATGAACTCGGGGAATGACAATTTCTGAAATCAAAGAAAATAGATAGTCTTAATTCTTAAATATAATTACATATTAATGCGTATAAAAGATTGAAAAAGTTTACAATATGTGATATTATATACTTGTACACAATATATTGAACAAAGAATAAGCTTCAGAAATTAATAATTATTATGCAGTTTGCTGACTGTTTATTAGAAATT